CAAAGAACATGAATCAACTGCTTATCCAGAAAAAAGTAACAAATAGGGGCTCTTTTAAAATACCAGCAATTATTTCAAGCATGCATTTCAAGTACAGTAAACCTCTAGGCAGCATAGAGTCCGTCCTGCCCTCAGGGGAGCAGGAGGTACCGGGGGTGACCAGGCAGGGCTGCACCAGGCCAAGAAGTGAGGCCTCCCACCTTCCAGATCTTGGCAGGACCCTCAATTTCAGCACCAGAGCCAGAACCCTGTGTCCACAGAATGTTCCTGAAAGGGCCTCTGTCGTCCTTTCTAGCTGAGATAAACGTGCACCTCAAAGGGCTGATGAGGTCTCTACACTGGCCACAGTCTCTGAGGGTAAGGGGGCCTCTGCGCTGCAGCGTGAGGGCGGCCGTAGGTGCTGGGGTCCCACTGGGCCGGGGCCTGTAGAACGGGGCCTACAGCGCAAGTTACCTTCCTCATGATCTTCCTGCCGTAAAACATCACTTTGTCTCTCTTCCGGAATCTGTACTGAGGAGTGGGCTGTGCTTGTCCTGCAAGGGGAGCAGAGGGGTCTCCTGAGTACGGCTGGGACGCAGGCAGGCGGGAGGCTCTGCCAAGCAGCAGCCTGTGGGTGCGCGCACCAAGCCTGTCCCGTCGTGGGGGAAGGGCACCCAGCGTGGGGCCCGGGCCGGCACAGGCGGGCTCACAGGGAGCGGGACTTGCAGCTCTTCGTCCCAAAGTCTCGCTCAGAAACGTGAGCCAAGAAAGCTGGGAACACACTCAAATTCCATGGGTCTGGTGTGCAAGCACAGCCTCAGCTGGGACAGGCCAGCAAGCCCCAACAAAAGCCACCACAGGCTTGAGGGCTGTTCCCAGGAGCTCACAAGAGGGGGCAGGCCACCGGAACCTCCCCCCGCCCCAAGCCCTCGTTCCTCCCCTGCAGAGCTGGAGATCTGAAGCAAGATACTCACGGAAGCGGTTAACCCTCCTGTACACAAAAAAGACGGCGATGCCAACGAGGGCAAGGGCCAGGAGGACTCCAATCACAATCCCCACGAGCTGAGAGAGGTCACAGACAGACAGAAAGAACCCCTGTCAGCAAGGCTGCCGCAGAGCCCCTCCCCACCCCAGCAAGAGGCTGGAACGAAGGGGCCAGGAGCAACCAGGAGTGAGGCAAGCCCACAAATCCCAGGGCCCACCCGCCACCAGGAAGCGCATGAAGTGGTTACCATGGTGGCCTGTGAACGCTGCTCCGTCAGCTGCAGCCCCCAGGACTGCAGGACAGGACCCAGACAGAAGCCAGCCTGGAGGGGACACTGGGGTTACGAAGGGCCAACACAGGCACAGCCCTGGCTTCCGAGGGCAGCAAGAAGAGAGCTGCCGGTTAGGGGGGAGGCCAGCAGCCCTGGGAGAAGGGGTCTTCTGGGCTGCTGAGACCCTCTGAGCGTGCCTGCTCAGGAGCAGAGAGAGCCCCGTCTTCCGAGGCCACCCACGGCATAGCTGGGGAGGGCCAGCAGCTGTGCTGTGTTGGAGCCTAAATTTTCAGGGGCGCCTGGGGGCTGTTGGTTAAGCGTCCGACTTCGGCTCAGGTCATGATCTCACGGTTCGTGGGTTTGAGCCCCACGTCGGTCTCAGAGCCTGGAACCTGCTTCAGATTCTGTGTCTCCCTGTCTCTCTGACCCTCTCCTGCTCACACTGCCTCTCTCTCTCAGAAATAAATAAAACATTAAAAAAAAAAAAGTCCTAAATTTTCAGCTTTCCAGTTCCTCAGATGCAAGTCTAGAGGAGCAAGGCGGGCTGGCCACTGGGTACACCCCACAAGACCGTGTGCTGCCGGCCGCAGGGCTCGTGGAAGCCTGCATCGCAGCAATGCCGAGAAACCCCAAGGAGCCATCTGGATTTTGAGAACACCGAATACCAGCTCATAGCAGAAAAAGGTTATGTGCCTGTTCCCTGCCACCTCCCAGGAAGGAGGTTTTGGGGGCTTCTCAAGTCCAGACCCGAGGGAGGAGGAAGAGAAAAGTGAGCACAGGATGGTGAGTGGGCAGATGGCTAGGGCCACCTACCTGGAGGATACTGGCCGATTCCCCCAAGAAGATGAAGAGAAACAAGCAGCCACTGTGCATTCCTCCAGGTGTCCACACACCTCCCAAGAGGCCAGGAACGGGAGAGGGCAGGGAGCCCCTTAATCCTCTCCAGTTTCTACACAAGTACCAAGGACTAAAGCAAAGAGCCAGCATCACAGTGTGGACACAGAAAACCCAGTGAAATTGAAGGACATTCAGAAAAGGGTCTCAAAAGCAGAATGCTGGTCGCCTCAAGGCAGAATAAATAAGCGGTCCAGAAAACCATGTCTTTGACCTTGGTTCAGGAGGCAAATGGAAGCTGTGGGAGCTTTTTGCTTCAGAGCTGAGGCATCCAGCCTCTCCTGGCCCCGACTGTGCTCAGTTCTGGACATGACAGCACCCAAACCACACCCTTCACGTAAGTGTGTCCCTTAGAGCTTAACCACTGCTTTGGGGAAAACCAGGGATATCCACAGAAAGGGTCACACAGATGCCCCACAATCTAGTTACACAACCTAGTATAGTTGAGCATCCCGGGATTTTCATGGTTGTTTTAATGTATCTACTTTTCTGTTTCAGGAATTAAGAAAGACTTTTGTGATGTAGTTACAGATGTTCCACTGAGGAAAAGACTCCCGTCAAAGCAAGCAGAAGTCCGGGGTACTTGGGTGGCTCAGTCAGTTAAGCATCCAACTTCGGCTCAGGTCATGATCTCACGGTTCATGGGTTCAAGCCCCACATCGGGCTCTGTGCTGACAGCTCAGAGCCTGGAGCCTGCTTCAGATTCTGTGTGTGTGTGTCTCTCTCTCTCTGCCCCTCCCCCCACGTATGCACGGTCTGTCTCTCTCCCTCAAAAATAAACGTTAAAAAACTTTTTTTTCTTTAAACAAACAAGCAAAAGCCCTAAGGGTAAGCAGGAACTGAGAGTTGTGACCTTAGTCTGACAAGGAGACAGAGGGGCCTAGGCAACCTCTCCCACATTTAGCCGACTTCCAGGAGCTGCCCACAGAGCAAATGCTAAAAGGACCCTTTCCCCTGGTCCAGAAACACCCCTATCTGGGAACTTTGAGGCTCTGATTCATCCCCGAAACCATCTAGTTGCATACCTCTGGGCTGGCATCTTCCTCTTGCTTCATGGCTAAAAATGGGGGGAAAAAAACAAAGTCTAGGTGAAAAGGTCTGTCTACACTCGGGGAAGTGTTCCCTCAACTCAAGCTCATGGGGCAGAACAATACTTTCGCCTTTTCTCCTGGGTTCCTCTTCTCCTTAAATTACGTTTTCACTGAAAGGAAAACCCTGGTGGAAAGTTGTGTTCCCCAAAAGAGAAACACCAGAGCCACTTCCCTCTCTGTAAACAGCTCTCCTACGGCTGTCCAGGAACCTGGCACCACAGCCAAGTCCTACTCCTCTCCCAGCTGGTCAGGGAGGGTGTGGGCAGCTCAGCCAAGGCCTAGTGCAGCCAGGAGCTCCCCGTGCCTGAGGGATGAGGAGGCTGAGGCTGGAGGAGGGATAGGGGTGTATGGGGCCAGGCGGGGCAGCCGAGTGTGAGACGACCTAGAGGCCTGTGTCAGAGGATTTCCAATCCGGTGTGGTTGACCTCAAGGTGGGTGTGTTGGTCCAAGGGATGATAAACTTGAGGGCCTGGTTCACCTTGTGCCTGTCTAGTGGTGAGGAACCAGGTATGGAGCCTTCACCGTGTGGCTCCCAGGCTCCTTACAAAAGCAGGAGCAAGGGACGATTTAACTCTTCCAAAATCCCACCGAGAGAATGCAGAAGGCAGATGCAAGGTCATAGTGCACTTGCTCCTGGGTCAAACGTCCTGTGCCCTCTGCTGCCACATGGAAATCCCTTCCTTCTCAGATCAGTCTTCTGAAAGGCCAGCAGCGCCCTTGGCCCCAGCTCTGCGGTCCGCTAGTGCCCTGACCAGGCAGTCTCCCCACGCACCCCACCCCTGCACGTTAGAGGTGGGGTAGAGCTCATCGCCCCAGCACGTGCTAGGGAGGCAGAGCGGAAGCCACTGCTTCTCTCTCCATGGGGGACAGCACACAGCCAGAGGGATGGGGCGCAAGCGGGCTGCAGGGCTGGGAAACTGCAGGTTAGGAGGCATCGGGGTTAGCGGCCATCCAGGCTGGGGGTGTCATTTTAGAGGGTCATGGGGTTGGGAACCCCGGGAGTTGACAGGCGTTGCGGTTGACGAGTGTCGGAGTGACGGGGGCACTGAGGTTAGGGGGCTCAGGTTGAGGGCCCTGGGAGCTGGGCGGCTTGGGCTGACAGGCATCAGGGTCGGGCCTCAGGGTGGGGGCACCTCAGCGTTGGAGGCTCGGGGTTGACCGAAGTCGAGGCTGGGAACGGTGACTAGTGTCCGGAGGGCCGAGAGGACCCGGCATCTGCCTCCCACAGACGGCTCACCGCGCAGCCCTGGGCCAGGCGGGCTTGTGGAGCGGTGTGCGTCCCGGCACGGGGTGGGGACGCTAAAGGCTACCCTTCATCACGGGGCCAGACCCGGGGCGTCGCCACCTCGGGGCGCTCGGCGGCAACTCACCGGAACCGCGCGCTCCCGACGCCCGCGCTCCCGTCACTACCCCCACCGCCGGGGCGCCGACGTCCGCGCTCCCGTCACTACCCCTACCTCTGGGCCGCCGACGTCCGCGCTCCCGATACTACGCCCACCGCCGGGCCGCCGACGTCCGCGCTCCCGATACTACGCCCACCGCTGGGCCGCCGACGTCCGCGCTCCCGTCACTACCCCCACCTCCGGGCCGCCGACAACCGCGCTCCCGCCGCCCCGCAGCAGCGCCGCGGACGCCGGACCTCCACGCGCATTGGCCTGGGCCAGGAGGTCCCGCCCACTCACAAGGCGGAGGTTGCGCATTGGACGCAGCGCAGCCAATCGAAGCTGCTCTTGCTAAGGGCGCAGAGTCCGGGTGGCGCCGGAAGCCGCGCGGGCTGCCGGAAGTCGCCACGGGCGCCGGAAGCAGAGAGAGGTGCGGGGCGGGGACCCGTAAGAGTTCGCGTGACCGCGGCGCCGTGAGCGTGGACGGCTCGAAGAGCGCTCGCGGCCTGCAGGAGCCAGCATGGGCCTCCTCAGCGCGGCGGCCCGCATCGTGGTGCGCGGCGCCGACCGCATGAGTAGGTGGACCAGCAAGCGGGGCCCACGCACCTTCTATAAGAGCCGCGGTGCCAAGGGCACTGGCGTCCACGCCCGCGACGGGAAGTTCGTGCAGGTCAAGGAAATGGTCCCGGAGCTGGTGGTGCCCGAGCTGGCCGGCTTCAGACTCAAGCCCTACGTGAACTACCGCGTCCCGGCGGGCACAGACGCGCCGCTGACCGCGGAGCAGCTGTTCCGGGAGGCAGTGGCGCCTGCCATCGAGAAGGACTTCGGGGACGGCACTTTCGATCCGCAGCGGCTGGACAAGTACGGCTTTGAGCCCACGCAGGAAGGCAAGCTCTTCCAGCTCTACCCCAAGAACTTCCCGCGCTAGGAGCCGAGCGGCGGCCGCCGGGTGTGCCCGGGGACTGCGTCCGGCCATCGTCCCCTTCCGCTGGTCCCGGGGTGGGCGAGAGGGGAAGCATTTCCTTCGTTTTGTTCCTATTAAAGACCTTGGCTACCATCCGGTGTTGGTGTGGCATCTGATCCTTGTGAGCCGAAAGGATGCGGCCTGACAGATCCGGGTGACAGAGGGCCCGTCCCCGGTGAAACTGGAAGCAGGGTCTTCCCAACCAAAAGGTGCTGGGGAGGCAGGCCAAGGGCGAAAACACACGGGAGAAGGAAAATTCACAAGGCACGTGGTGCCACGTGACGACAGTAGTTATCCCTCAGATTCTTCGCTCCAGAAGTCAGTTTGCATATTCTTGATCGGTTCAAAAACAACTATTCTGGGGGCAAATCTCCAGTAATCTAGCTTCTCCTCTGGGTTCCCCGGTTTTAGTGCACAGTCCCTGGAGTATAATGTATTCTGCTTCGTATTTAATTGACTCTTAAATAACCATTAATACAAACGCTTGAGGAGGATTCAAATTCTTGTATTGAAATAAATGCACCATTAGCTAGGAATTGGTCACTTTTGCAGAGTAATTTTTTTATATGTTGTGACCTATATTTTCATCATAAAATAATCGTGTTTTCTGACTCTGAACACATACATAGAATATTGGTAGAAATTTGACAAATTCTACACTAGCCTGCACTTCAACAACTGTTTCTTCCAGAGAGACAATGAACTCCTATGGGAGTCAGATGAGTCACAAACCCAGTTATGTTCTGGGTGTTAGTATGTGTCTAGCTCTGCAAGCTACTCAGGTTACTAAAGCCACAATGGGGAATAATTCAAGTTTATGACACACTTAGGCATCTCAATGTGTATAGGCTTCTTTTTGTTTATCAGCATAGAGACTACTACAAGTGCTTCTGGTGCCATGATAAGGTGATCTTTATTTTTTTTTTCATTTTTTTTTTTACAAATAGTTTATTGTCAAATTAGTTTCCACATAACACTCAGTGCTCATCCCCACAGGTGATCTTTATTTTTTAAGTTTATTTTTTGAGAGAGAGTGCATGTGAACAGGGGAGGGGCAGAGAAAGAGAGGGAGAGAAAGAATCCCAAGCAGGCTCTCAAGCCATCAGCGCAGAGCTGGATGTGGGCTTTGAACTCACAAACCTGTGAGATCATGCCCTGAACCAAAGTTGGACACTTAACCGACTGAACCACCCAGGTGCCCCCAGATAAGATTTATTTAAGAGAAGCCAGTTGTGTTTTTTTTTTTGACTGTTTACACTGTGGATCCTATAAGATACACTGAGCCCTGTACGGTCGTAGAGACTACAATAGAAATAGAGACTACAATAGAAATCTCAATGAGATGGTCTGATGGCAGTTCACTCACAAAGTCCCACTGCGGGCTTTATTTGTAGAAATGGTCTCGGATTTCAAGTTAAGCAGTCTCTTCTCCAGCTCAGATGTTCTCCCACTTCCAGAGGTGAAGGATATGATCATAAAAGGAGCAAGTAGCTAGGAAGTTGATGTCAAAGTTCGCTGCTTCCGGATAGAGGTCACAGTCACAAACCTTGGTCCCTGCAGTGTGCAGCTGGCTGTCACCCTTAATCATGTCCTCTGTGAGTGCCTGGACAGAAGCCCTCCGTTTGCTTCCATTCTGAAGTCTGGTATGACCTTCTTTACCATTCTCTGCTAAATGATCATAAGAGTGTGCTGGTGACGGGTGCACAGCCTTCAGGTTTGAGAGATGTGCTGCTTTGCCTCCTGAGTTGCTGCAGGGAAAGGAACCTGAGCAGGATGGCTGGTGGTTCTGTGACACACTGTGGACGCCGAGCCAGGACCAGTCGGCTCCATACACCAACGAGTTGGGCAGCGTGTGGGATGCAGAGACTGTGCAGGCTTCCTGCTTCTCCTCTAGAAAGACAGAACACAGGAAATGTGACGTTACCCAGGTTGATCTCATCACTACCAACTGATGGGCGCTGCCCACTCTCAAAGGGAGACTCGGCTAAAAGCAGTCACTCATTTGTCAGCAGCCAATGTGCATCACGCAAAGGAATCCTTGAGATGTGGACAGATGAAGAGAAAACACCTTCATCTGGTAGCGAGTGCACTCTGGGCGCCTGACAGAGGAAGCAGCCTGGCTACAGAAGCACAAGGGCGACAGTGCCTTTCCAAGTCGGAGGACTTGGCAAATGCTTCAGTTAAGACTTCAAAGCAGAGGGGGGCGCCTGGGTGGCTCAGTCGGTTAAGCGTCCGACTTCGGCTCAGGTCATGATCTCACAGTTCATGGGTTCGAGCCCTGTGTGGGGCTCTGTGCTGACAGCTCAGAGCCTGGAGCCTGTTTCAGATTCTGTATCTCCCTCTCTCTAACCCTCCCCCACTCATGTTCTGTCTCTCTCGGTCTCAAAAATAAACAACTATAAAAAATTCTTTTTAAAAAGAAAACATTAAAAAAAGAAAAAAATATACAATGTATGTAAAAAAAGGTTAAAACCCTCTGAAAAATTCCAAATCAAACTTGAACAAATGGAAAGGCACCCCTTTTCTTGAGTAAGATGACCCCAGATGATAAGTCAGCTATAAAGTTAATTTATATTTAATTTTTTTAATGTTTATTTATTTTTGAGAGGGAGAG